AACCAATTCACGAGGATTAGGAACTGATTTTTTTAAGTGACTAAATAATATACCTTATTTTACCAGTTTTCTCTTCTTCTTTTTTTTTAATCATAAATTAATATATATATATATATATATAATTTTTGTATTTTGTACCTTTAGAATCCAGGTTGTTGGTGATGTAGGTGAACGAGTCAACAATGGTGACGATGTGGAGGCTGACTAGGATGACACTCAAGAGAATGTGAGGGGTTCTTTCGGCAGCACTCGTCTCGCATGCAGAAGGCTACATGTTACGGGCCATCTTGTTCTGTTGGGTGATGATATCTCGCAGTGCACTTTCCAGCAAAAGTTTTTAAAAGATAAACTTTTCAGCCAAGCTGGTAGAGCTAGGCAGCAATGGCGGGATTCCAGGGGTTCAAGGTAATCACACAACTACCAAAAACATGATGAGGAGAAGTTGTGCGTTGTTAAGGAAGGGCAGCAAAGATGTGAAATACATATGGTTCAAAGATCATAACTTGAGAATCACACTCATACATAAATCATTGTAACATGATAATAATGACAATAAATGTGACCTTTTTCATCCTTAGTGTAGACTTGACTCTATAACAAATAATCCTCATATTGAAAATGAAGAGTACAACAGCTCCAATCTTGAGGTTCTTCTAAAGACAAAAGGGATAGACTTAACAGTGATGATGGGAGAAGGAAGGGTGACAGCTTGGGAGTTTACGAATGGAACGCTTGATCCCATTTTGATGCTAACCTTGTGACATTGATCGTCTAATGCTCAAGAAGAACTATCCGAAAGCTGAAACTGTAGCATGTTGTTCCCCAGCCATAATATCCTGCAAATCTGGAAATATTCTGTAGTGTTGGGTGATATCCTGCAATGTTGGAAAATATTTTGCAGTGCGGGAAAATGCTCTGCAGAGTTGGAGAATGTTCTGTAGTGCCAGAAAATAGTTTGTAGAGCTAGAAAATATTTTGCAGAGCTGGAAAATACTCTGCAAAACTGGAGACACTAGAAACCCAAAAAAAATAGTGGTTTACGGGTAATTTCTACGTGCAGAGCAGTGGGTTGAAGATGGAATCTATTTTTCTTTAAAGGAGAAATGAGAGTTTTGGTGTGTAAGTCTATTGTTGTGCTGCATGCACCTCTCCCTCTGTTCTTGAAAATAATGGGTAGATAATTTTTATATATATATGTAGTGGTATTGTTGTAATTTCTAGTTGGTGGCTTAGAGGTCTGCAGAAAGGTTGGGGTAAGCTGTCGAATTTTTGGTAGTTCCAGGCATTGTTGGCAACTCTATGACAGTGGCATCATGAATTGCCCAATGGTCCCAACGAAGTTTTGCTAGTTCTGGCAAAGAAACTGGAAATTGTATATTTTTGGCAATATCCCCAGCCATACAAAATCCCATCTTTGGGGAGGTGCTTAAGTGCAACCGGCAAAAACAACATCTACATAGGATTTGGTGAGTTCTTCAGGCTCTGCGCAAGATTTTGGAAGATTTTGCAAGCAGATAACAATCTTTTACAGCAGTTTCTAAGGCCATGGAACTTATGTAGCCACCCTTGTATTAAATATGGCTGCAAGTTGCTGATGGTGACCAAGACAGCACCTCTGGTTAGGCTTTGGCGAGATTTCCAGTCTTTGGTTAGCATCAAACGGCACTATTCCGGAATCAAGTTCATTTCCATGTCTTTGCCACCCAACCTCTCTCTGGTGAAGTTGGGTAGCATCGCCAGTGCCAAGCTTTGCTGGTGCAGATGCCTTGCTTCGCCAAATGGGTAGTGTTCATCCATCCATGCCTACCAAGCCACTACTCCCATAATTTATCCTGAATAATCCCATGAGCTTGGATTCATGGGGTTGTACTTATCTGCAATAACAGCAAGGCACATGTGAATATATGTTCAGATATTCAAGAATAAGAAACATATAGGCATATGCAGCGAAGAAGGAAACTCCCTCATATGTTGAAGGGGACTATGTGAATGAATATTCACTGCTCTCATTTGCCTATTGGCCATGGCCGGCATCAATATATTGCTGTTATACATGGTTGGCGTTGCACCAGAATGAGGAACGAGTGTTATGGGTGTGCATTGCGATATCATTGTCTCGAGCTAAGCTTCGTTGGCCAACGATACCTGTTGACATGTAAGACATAGAAAATATGTGTTATGAGTCGGGATTACCAACGGTCGGTAATTTTGTTCCTTTGTGTAGAAGAATAACAATGTGCATGATCCCCGGCCATGTTATGTATGTATCGCAGGATCAGCCATGCATAGCCTTCCCATAGCCAGAGGGACAACAGTGGCTAACTTTGTCCATAGTTGGAGCATGAACTATGTGGAATCGAAAGAGCACTCTCGCTAATCTGCTAAGCCTTGAAGGGGTAAATCTCATTAAACCAGACTTCACCGTAACGATGAATATGTTTAGAGATAGGTGGAGTTGTCTCCATGGAAAAGAGACGCCAACTACATCGATGGCCTCCGATACGACAATTTGTGATGCAACTGGCAAGTGTTGGCCCTTCTTGCCATACTTGCACCGTCAGAGGGTGGTCCTAGTTGTTGTGCCCGTCGGGCACTGCACTACCATGCACAAGCGACCACCAAGGGACCGTTGGCCGCTACGTGATGGATTTTTATCGTTGGAGGGTAGCCATCCCATCAGATCGTAGGGTTGTAATTGTTACTGGCCTCACGCTAATTGTACCAAGTTGCGTTGACTGTTTGTTCGTTTCTAAGAGCTAGTGAGAGAGAATATGTAGATATCCGACCCTTTGCCTGTTGCCGGGAGCCGGTGAAATGAAGATATGTAGAAATATAAAAATGTGTAGTCTTTTATCCATTGTTGAAGGCTAAATGAGATAGTAAATCTGACCCTTTGTCCACCGTAGGGAGCTGCGTAGATATAATAAGATCAGCTAGTTGTCCATTGATGGGAGTCATGCAGCAATATAAGCTCTTTATCCATTATTGGGAGCCAAAATATGTAGCGGTAAAATCGCTGCAGAGGACATGACCGTCAAAAACACTCAGCCATGTTGTGTAGATAATGTAGCCGTGTCTGGCCATGTGTAAAGGAATGCTGCTGAGGTAGAACATGTTTGTATCATTACTAGTGAAGTGGGTAAATGCCACTCTTAGCGATATTTAAGAGAATAATGTTAAGTACTGCTTCTG